AAGTTGTGATTGAGTGCTAGTGTGAATACTTTGGAGGATAAAGTTAATTATTGTTACAGAAACCTTATGTGAATGGTGGATAAGGTTTCTATGTGAATTGTTACACACAAGCCCAGTAAATGGGTTTATATTTCTTAAAATGGCCTCTTTTTTAAATTGAACAATCTAAACAAATTGAACAATTATTGTTATGATTCAGACAATTCTATCTGTATATCTGTGTAGAAGTGCTGGGATCTTTTGCTTATGTAATAGTGAATTAAACTAGATGCATAGCCGGGTTGGTTTAACAGCAGGGCTGAGCCATAGGGCACTGTTTCTCAACCTTGGCAACTTTAAGCTGGGTGGACTTCAATTCCCAGAATTCCGAAGCCAGGCTGGCTGGGGAATTCTGGGGATTGAGGTCCACCCAGCTTAAAGTTGCCAAGGTTGAGAAACATTGCTATAGAGTGAAAGGCTGAAGGTTTCCAGTCTCTCCTAGAAACTCTCTGCATCTGTATATCCCCGTCATGCCTCCTGACATGATAGTTACTGCTACCACCTGTCCCAATCCCAGCATGGGAGAGAGAGAGAGGCTTTCCACAGTCTGTGCACTTTACTGGCTGTAAGGAGTGGGACTAGGAAAATCAGTCCTCTTACTTTTGGGAGATAGATTCATCTCACAGGGTATGAATAGGAAAAAACTTTATTGAAGAAAAAGAAAAAATACCAAAATTTCTTTTTAACTTTAAGTAGTTGTGTGCAAACGTTCAATAGTGGAGGAGATAAAAATACAGAGCTGCAAAAATGAGAGAACTTCTTAGACTTCAGTAGAAAGGAAAATATAAAGTTCTGGCAGACAAGAAGATAGGCTGGTTTCTCCTAGTTAGAAACAACTCTGAGATAAAGAATTTCTGAGTTGCACAAAAATACACAGGACTGAGCTTGTATAGAAGCGCTAGATTCCAAAGACAATAAATTAGCCTTAAATACCCACAGTCAGTAACCTTAACACAATACCTCTATCTAAACAGTTTTTATTATCCTTTCAAAGACAGCTGCTTTTTATGAACCAGATTTCCCTCTCAGTTCTTCCTTGATTTCCTTCCTGAGGATTCTAGTTAGTTAAGTATGAGGCTGCTGGGAAGATGAAAAGTGCTGTTTGTCCTTTTAGTCCCGGTTCTAAGTTCTCACTTTAAAAAAAAAAAGGCAATTTTTTAAAATCTCAGGCAAAAAGGGAGAGGAGTTGACTTTGTATTTGACCCCTGGCATGCAACTGTCCCTAGTGCAAATATAGATTCCATGTCTGAGATGAATGAATGAGAATTGAAACTCAGATGTGACTGTCAGTGAATATGGGATAGTGGGGAGGGGGGAAGAGGGGGATCTTGCCTGCCCTTTCTCTACAGGGATGAATGAGTACCCTTGAGCAAACTAAACTATTTTTTTTTTAAATCTAGTAATACAGAAATTATTTTATGGAGGTCTGGAGGTATTTTTCCCCTGTGGATGCAATTTTCTTTGCAACGTGTTTAAGTTAGTTAGCTAGAAAGGTTCTATTCTATTCTATTCTATTCTATTCTATTCTATTCTATTCTATTCCATTCCATTCCATTCCATTCCATTCCATTCCAATTTATTTTATTATTAAATTTATATGATATCATTGACAAATAGTCAAGATGCATATGACTCCATGATCCAAAAAAGAATGTCTCTGAATATCAGTTTCTTAGAAATAAGTGTGTTCATATTGTAGAAGAATCTGCTTGAGGATGCTGGATTAGACTTGCATTTGTTCTGATTTCAGAAAGCTCTTTTTGCTGTTCTTATATAGTGCAGGAGACCTTGGTTGAAATCCTTTAATTAATCATAGAGCTTATTGGATGATTTTTTTTCAGTCCAGACTACAGGTAGTCCTCAACTTATGACCGCAGTTGGGACTGGAACTTCTGTTGCTAAGTGATCCAGTTGTTAAGTGAGTTAAGACCTTTTTTGCTGTGGTTGTTAAGTGAATCACTGTGGTTGTTAAGTGAATTCAGCTTCCCCCATTGACTTTGCTTGTCAGAAGCCCCTGGGAAGGTTGCAAATGGCAATCATGTGAACCTGGGACACTGCAACTGTCATAAATACATGCTGGTTGCCAAGCACCCAAATCTTGATCACGTGACCATGGGGATGCTGTGGCAATCGTTAGTGCGAGGACCAGTTGTAAGTTGCTTTTTCCAGCACCGTTGTAACTTTGAATGGTTGTTAAATGAATGGTCGTAAGTTGAGGGCTACCTGTACTTCATAGGGTTATTATGGGAATGAAATTAAGGGAGACCCTGGGATATGCTACCATACAATGTTAAAGAAAAGTGTGGATGATGATGATGATAATGATAATAATAAGTAGTAACTGTTGTCGTCACTGTCACAAAATTAAGGTATGGCACAAAGCTTTTTCATCCTGGGTTCCTGAAGTGTTTTGGGGTTGGATTCCAGTATTGTTTAAAGTGCAGCTCCCAGACTAACTTGTTTTGAAAAATGTTTGCACAGTTTCCCCTCCTTGCTACAAATAAATCTGCCATGCTTGATTTATAGTTGACTCTTTTGGTTTGTGGGAGTTTTAATATATTGAAAGGGAGAGCAAAGCTGAAACTGCCGAAGCAATTGTTTGCAAATTAGTTTCCCCTCCCCCCAGTTCCTGTTTCAAAGGGCTGTTCCAGTGAGAAAGCACATTAATGACGGGTTAGGCTAGTGAGGTCATTCTGATGTCAGTCCTGAAGCTTGTAATCCCGCACATGTTTGCTTGTTTGGAAAATTTTGTATTCAGTTGGTGGCAGACGTGAAGCCTTTGAGCACAGGCTGCTGGTCATGGCTGTAACCAGAGATGAAGCTGGTAGGTGATTCTGTATGCTTCTTTCCAAAAGACAGGACTCAGGCTGGGCTGCTGCGATCCTGTGTGCTGTGATGGGATTTTTGACAGCCTAGGTGCAAGTAGGTTCATCGCAGCCCTCCTCTTTTTGTTAAAAAGCTGAGTGAGAACATTACTGATTGGCAACACTTGTTTGCTACTTCGTATTTTTATAGTGCATGATAAACTGTTGTAGTGTTTCTTTAGGGGGCGACATATTTTAGGGTGGACTGATTGGTGTTTGTTTAAAAGTCACGCATTTTTGTTTTTTCTTGCGAGCTGAGTGTGGAATAAAATATTTTTCTTTAGCAATGAAAACAAGCAACCTATCTCTTTTAATGCTTTCTGTTTAACTTTGGAGTGAATGAAAGATAACTTTTTAAGCTTCTGTTAGAAATCTAGTGGTAGCGTGTGCTTTGTTCAGCCCTGCAGCTGCTCCTTTAGCATTCATTTCAGACAGCAAGAGCAGTAATAGGGACTTGTGGATGATTCTAGCAAATATTTGGCTGATCATTTGTTATCTTATGCCCCCTCTATTTGAAAGTGGTCTATTCCACAGCTAATCAAGTTCACAAGGCTGACGTCACTAGATTTCCTGGAATCGTGTTTCAGTGGCGGAGCTGGAAAACTTAAACTCCACAAACAACATCTACATTGACGTCAGCTGCAAGTCATGCTGTGATTTAGTCAGTTCCTTTCTGCTTCAGCTAGAACTGCTGGCACATTTTGTAGTGTTATTCTGTAGCCTGCACTCCTGATCTCTTGAGCTAAGTAAATCTGGTTTGCGTGTTTTGTATATTATTTATCCCACCACTCTCAGCTATTTTTAAAGATCTTGGGCTTGGATGAGCAAAGCACTAGGAGCTGTGCAGCAGACTTTTGGGAAAAGTTTATAATCCTTCTGGTAAGGTACTGCCTTAGGGAGGAGAAGGAAAAGGATGTAGCAGGACTCTTCTTCCTATTATGTAGTCAGTCTAGTTCTGCTCTGCAGGCAGATTTTTAGAACCCATCTATGATGCAAAGCTTGGTAACTTTCAATATGCTCTCTTTGTGTGTGTGTGTGTGTGTGTGTGTCTTGGTCTTGTAGCACAAACAAGCAGTGTGTTTATTATGGCATAGACTTTTTTCCTCTAAAGTCCACGGATGAATTCAACTATATTAATAAAGTAGGCTATAGCCTACGATATGTCCTAATGAATTTGAGAGCTTTAAAGTGAATCAAGACTCCTTGTTTCTTTTTTCATACAGAAGTTTCACTTTTTGTAGAATAGAGTCTTTACTGTATTAATATTTTCCATTACTTGATAAATTTAAATGTCATGCGGTATCTAAATAATAATTCATATTTTTTTCTGATGACATTTATGTTGCAAAAATAAAAACCTGCCATAAACTTTGTAATTTGATAGGCATGTCAGAGGAAAAAAAACATAATAAATAATACCTTTATTGGGGTAAAGTAGACCCACCTAAAGGGTGCAAAAGTAGAATTCTTTATGCCAACCAAAACGATAGTAAAGGAATAGGAGACAGTAAGAGGAAACAGGACATGAATAAAAAGCCCATCCATATTACATTTGTAACATGTTCAGAAGTTAATAGAATGCCACTTTCAGTTTGATCCTGATGAGCATCCTAAATAAACATTATGGAGAAATTCATACTTGAAACTGGTGGAATGATAGTACCTTAGATCAAATTCCCAGGATTATTGAAATATGTAAAATAATTCCTAGGATTAATTATAAGTTTTTATCTGAGGAATTACAACATAATAATTTTTAGTTACCATCAATTATCTTGGAAGATACTTACTATTATTTAGGATAAATTGTTAAATTGTTATATTGTATTTTTAATTAATATTTATCTTTTCTGTAAACTGCCTAGAGTTGTTTTTTAATGAGATGGGTGGTGACAAATTTGGTATATAAATATAAATAAATAAATAAATAAATAAATATCACATTTCACACCTAAATATGTTCTTTACAAAATGGTAAATCAATCATACATATTTATAAACAAATGTTAGATTATACTAAATTAGATCTTCAAGAGGATTGGGAAGTATGATACAAAGGATTGGACTATCCAGTATATGAATGACGACAGAAGATCATTTTGGTATCTGTAGTTGACAGATGTGGAATTGTGATTAGTTCAACGAAAATACTATTTCATGACTACTGGAAACCTGTGAATCTTTTTAAGGAAGAAATTGTTAAGTTCATCTAATTGTTAAAGATATGCAACATTGGTCCATATGAAGTGGTTGTATACTGTTGTGGTTCCCTTTTGGACAGTGATTGTTTCACACAGTAACTTTTTTGAAGACATTATTGGTGTTTGTAGATGCCCATGTTTATGATAAAGAAAGCAACAAATACAAATGTAAAAAACTGAGTTTTTTTAAAAATGGGAAGTCACCTAATTTTAATCAGTGATACAATGACCTTAAGAACTTATACTCTTTCTGTATTTAAATAAGCATTTGATCAGCAGGCCTGTTGACTGAAGGACAGTTTTAAAACATTGGACTGCTCATAATAGTTGATATTTTTAATTCCATCTTTTTTCCTAATAATAAATAAACTGAGTTAAATGTGAATAATTTGGGTAACATCACACACACACACATATATATAATGTGTGTGTGTAAAACTAGTGTTGATTAGGATACAAGAGGTATTTTTAAGAGTTTTCTTCATTTTCGTTTCTTTTTTTTTCACTTAAAATAAGATGCAAAAATTAAAAAAATAAGATGGAAAACAGGACATACTATGTACATATTTAATTAGTTAATGTAAAGTTCATGGGACTGTAAATTCCATCGTCTCCCCAGCCAGCATTGTCATTGGAAAAATAATTTCAGGTTGCAATAAAAACACTAGAACAATTATGGCTATTACTCCACCTTGTTTGTGCTATCTTTAAGTTGGACTGAATCTCAACTAAGATTGCACAATGTAAATATATCTGGAATTTCATCTGTTTACTTTCTTCTACCTTTCTGCCTTTTTGTATCTATTTGAGAAGCAGCTTTTAGCGTACAAGGATTAAAGCATTACACAGGTAGTCCTTGACTTACAACCACAATTGGGACCAGAACTTCCATCGCTAAGCAGTGCAGTCGTTGAGTCACGCCAGATTTTATGACCTTTTTGCCATGGCCATTAAGCGAATCACCATGGTCGTTAAGCAATCCGACTTTCCCATTGACTTTGCTTGTCAGAAGCCCCCTGGGAAGGTCGCAAATGGCGATCACATGACCCTGGGACCCGTTGTAAATACATGCTGGTTGCCAAGCCTCTGAATTTTGATCATGTAACCACGGGGATGCTGAGATGGTCATAAGTGCAAGGATTGGTTGTAAGTCATTTTTTTCAGCACTGTTGTAACTTTGAATGGTCATTAAACAAATGGTCATAAGACAAGGACTACCTTATTGTATTTTAATACTGAGTAGCACAGAAGCTTCAGAGCAAGATAGGATTGGCTGGGCAAGAAAAATGTTACTGAATATCTTTACCTGTGAGAAACAACCATATTTAATTCTGCTTTTAATTCATTTCAAGAAGGTAGATATCTAAAGGATTTTATAAGTTTCTTTGAACTGAACAAATTCCCACTTTCAATTTAACTTGGAAGAAAGTTTGCTATTAGTTTGTCATGTGCCCACACATTTGTTCTCTCTGTGGATCTTTACCTATCACAGTCCTTTCTTTTCCTACATGTATCCCAAAGTTTCCATTCATCTGTTCACAAGAATATAAGCTGATATCTCATTTATCAATAATTCACTCTCTTCCTTAGCTTTGGTTACTGTCTGTTTTTTTCTCAAACTCTGGAATTTATCAAGTAACAGTGCTGATGAAATAACTTTTTCTTTCTTTTTTTGAAAGCATTTTTTGCAAGTGGTTGGACATGTTTCAGGGCTATGCATTGAGAATGTAGCCATCAGTGAATTTTTCTTTAAAAAGTCTGAGGGCTGCATGGGGCCTAAGATGCATTATGGGAAATGAAGATGACAGAAACTGGAGCTATTGCTTTGTTTTACCATCTGCCTATTCATTTTCATGAAGGAATAAATAGATAATTATATTTCTGAAAGACTAAAAATAGCAAGTGGACTTAGCCTCCTGGGCACCAAATGTGATTCCCCAACTGCTCCAGGATTTGTGGACACTATGTTGAGGAAACCAGCATTGTGACCATCAGAGGCTTTGGAAGCCTGATTTTGCTGCTTTTCTGGGATTAGGAAAATTAAGTGCTGTCTGGGTCTTGTCAGGCCTTCATTGCTTAGTGTGTTGTGGAGGTCTATTCCATGTTCTCATTCCTTAGGTAATATTATTAGATTAAATGTGCTTTCTGTTACTATTGTTGCTATTGTAATTTTGTCCAAAAAAATCCCTTTAGTTAATATTCATAAGTTTTTTTAAAAAAAAATCCCGGTCTATAGGCCCAAAATATTTGGCCCTGTGGTCAGACTTGTGATCTGGTTTTGCTAAGGAACTGATGACCTGAGTGCATAGGGAAATATTGCTTCCTGAAGAGGCTAGAGCAGGCCTGCACAACATGTAGAGAGGAAAGGGCCACACTGATCAATTAAAAATAATCTCAGGCTACAAGGAATATCTGGTGTGCTGATCAGCTGTTCTGCAGTTAGGGAAGTGGCATTAGTGATGGAGCTGGTGGGGTCGGTGGGGTCTGGAGGCGTTGAAGGCACCCAGCAGCATGTATTTCAGGGCAGCGGCAGTGGGCGCTTCCTAGCAGCGGCAATGTTTGCTGGTACAGTAGTGGATTTATTGAGTTTTTATTAAAAGCCGGCAGACGGGCCATATGTTGTGCAGGCCTGGGCTAGAGGGAAGGAGAGAACTTGCTTTTCCTGAATAGAATTCATTCAATAGAAGCACAAACAGGCTATTTAATTCCCCCCTTCCCCAAATTTTGAAGTAGAATTCATTCAATAGAAGCACAAACAGGCTATTTAATTCCCCCCTTCCCCAAATTTTGAAGTAGAATTCATTCAATAGAAGCACAAACAGGCTATTTAATTCCCCCCTTCCCCAAATTTTGAAGTAGAATTCATTCAATAGAAGCACAAACAGGCTATTTAATTCCCCCCTTCCCCAAATTTTGAAGCCTTTGACAAAAGTATTGTTTCCATTGTGATTTTCTTAGGGCTGTTTTGTTAAAACTACCCAAATTAAAGAAAAAAAAAACTTGTACAAATCTTGATCGCAGATGCCATGCTAGAACATTTATTATTTTTTTGTTTTTGATGATCAACCATGTCATTTTCTGCTGTATTATAATATAATTTCTTCCCTCTTCTCTTTTGAAATTGCAGCTGCTACAGGTGACATGCCAACTTACCAGATCCGAACTCCAACCACAGCCTTACCTCAAGGAGTCGTCATGGCAGCTTCCCCAGGAACATTGCACAGCCCGCAGCAGCTAGCAGAAGAAGCAACACGTAAAAGAGAGCTAAGGCTTATGAAAAATAGGTACCGATTAGAATTTAAAGTAACAATTAGAGTTTATTTCCAAGAATCAGTGGAAGGGAAAATTAAATAGTGGTGCTAAAAAGACGGTTTCAGAGGTAAATTGCTCAGCTGGTTCTCACATATGGGGCCTTGCAGCTTTTCATGTAATTGCTGGGGAAGAGAGCAATGCCTTCCCTCGGCATCACCTTAACCGTGACTCCGAAAGTATTGTTGGCTACTAACAGTTATTCTCTTAAGCAATTCCTCCCAGAAGTCTAAATGATCCAACTCCCAACTGTCTCTGGTAGCTGGTTTGAACCTGGCTATTAGTTTTTTCTGCAGTATGAAAGTGATGGCAGTTTGGAACAGTTTGAAAATATCTGTGCAGTTTACCAGTACTTATTAATATGATGCAAATCCCCAGTGCCAGCCTAAGGATTGTGCCAGTATAAATAAAGACTTGTAATTCCTTCAGTTGCTAGAGAATTACAGATGGCTCTACACATTGTAGCATAACTTACAAAATCACTACAAGTTTTGGTAACATTAGTTTTATATTTTGCATAGAAAACTACTGATGGCTTTGAATTATAGATCTTGAATGTTACATATTTATTATCTGATAGATGTACTATATATCCTGCCTTTTCTCTAGGGCTTCAAACAAGCATACATAGCACCCTTCCTCCATTTTTTTTCCTCCACTGCAGCTCTCAGGACTAGGATAGTCTGAGAGAATGTGACAGGTCCAAAATCATCCAGTGAGCTCCCATGGCAGGAAATTGGACTTGAACCTGCATCTCCCCAATAATTTCAATATTAGTGCAGTACTTTAACTATTACACCACACTATACAAGTTTTCCATTTAGAAAGTCCATTGCATTAATAAGAATAAAAGATTCTCACTCACACAGAAACAGATGCTGATTATAGTATTATACATTCAATATAAGTTACATCTCATAATACAGATAGTCCTCACTTACCGATGGTAATTGTGACCAGGAACTCCATCGCTAAGGGACACGGTTGTAAGGTGCAATATCACGTGACTGTGCCAACTTTTAACAGCAGTTCTGGCAGTTCCAGTTGCTGCTGTTAGGCGAATCCCATACGGTCGCAGCATCCCATAGTCATGTGATTGCAATTTGTGATCTCCTACCAGCTTCCCCATTGACTTTGCTTGTTGGAAGCCAGCAGTGAAGGTCGCAAATGGCTATTATGTGACCATGGGATGCTGCGACGGCCACAACTATGAGGACCCAGCATAAGTACCCTTCGTTCAGCGCATCATAACTTTGAATGGTTGCTGAACAAATGGACATTAAACGAGGACTACCTGTAATTTAAAGAATGCTTTATGCCCCTATTATTTATAGGCACAGATTAGACACATTCATGTGAGTGTCATTTATTTAAATAGGAAATTCTGAGTCGGTAATATTACTGAAGCACATGATTTTGTAAACTTTAGAAAATAGAAGAAGGGTAAAGGTATTTTGCAGATTTAGTATCTTATTGCAGCAAATAATAAATTCGCTGTGGAATATCTTTTTTGTAGTAGATTCGTTTTTAGGAGTTTGGGTGAGACTTTTAGGATGCTTTTTTCACTTTATTTAGTAAATTTTGTATATTGTCCAGGATATGTTAACCTTTTGTTTGTTTACTTCCTGCGTGCCTTTCTGGTATTAATGCTGTACTCAGTGTCCACTGCCAGTAGTTGTGGATATTGTTGGCATGTGCTTTACTTGAAGAAGCTGAGCTCTTGGAAACTAACCCCGCTATTGTTCACTGTACTCATGGTATTGCTTTTTCTCATGCCTTTTAATTTTAAATTGCTCATCCAGAATCCATGTCGTAGTTTCAGTCTCTTGTTCTTCTCTCTTCAGGTTCAGTCTAGTGTCCACTGTTAGTGGCAATTATGTAACATGTGCCAGTTTATCTTGGTACTTCTGATATAAATACGTAGTACCAAATAGCTAAGATTTTTGCCTGGCATGTGTAGATACTGTTCTCATTCATGCAAGCTTTTGAGCTTTCCTTTCAGACTGTGTTCCCTAAAATGTCCTGTCAAAGATCTTGGGGGTTCTTTTGGATCAATATTCCAGGAAAGGCATTCTGGAAAATGATCTAACCCATAACTATGTACAAGGAAAAATGTTTTGTCCTTCTGAAAATTAAAGCAGGGAGGACTCCAAAATAAAATCCATAGTTTTGAGATGAATAAGTTCAGATGTGGTGATAGCATAGCAGTGTTCCATATTAGTTATGGTGTTATTGATTTTAAACATTTTTGTTCAATGCTCTAACAAGAAGTTCCTTATGGTGGCCTTTGCAAAGGCCTTAAAAACAGTAATATGTAAATAAAATGTTATATGATTTAAAGAGGTAGCCAGTGATGATGGTTAAGTTCTTCATCTCCCACTCATAGGCTAGTGGACTTTAGAGAGCTAGAAGGGTCTGGAACGAGCTCAGTGAAACAGCAGCAGGAAGCAGAGAAGGCGAAACAGTGGTTCACTCTAATTTCTCCTTCATCTTTCATTATTATTTTAAAGTTCAAGGTTTAAACTGTAAATAATAATTCGTACTCACTTTAAAGAATTTATTATTGGTTTTGACAAGAAAATGGGGAGAATTGACAGAACATTTCAGACTAGCATCTAGATTCCAAGCTGAAGAGAGAAGGTAGCATGTTTTGTTTGCCAGCAGTTAATTTCCTAACATTTTGCAGACATACGCTGAGATGATTGAGTTACCTGTTTAAGCATGTAAATCTGCGATATTATGCGAACAGATGATGCGGGGGTTGTAAACACTGAGCTGTTACTTTGATGCATGTTTTGCGATAGCTTGAATTGCTTTGTTAAAGCACAATCTCATAATCGATTTTACAACTTCCTCATACTTTTGTGCTACGCTGTGTCTTCTGCTTGTTCTGCATTGTCTCCAGAGCATTTGTGGCCTGAATTTATGGTGTGACTATTGTATGATTTACTTGATTTGGCATTTATTGAGTTATTTCAGCTTTTCTGGTGTCAGAGGTTATCGTACGTACCTGGGTTTTCGTTGCATTGTAGCTGATCGAGTAGTCATTTGCCTTGTGTTGGTTCCAGGGAAGCTGCTCGTGAGTGTCGCAGGAAGAAGAAGGAGTATGTCAAATGTCTTGAAAATCGTGTGGCTGTGCTTGAAAACCAAAACAAGACTCTCATTGAGGAACTCAAGGCCCTCAAAGACCTTTATTGCCATAAAGCAGAGTAACTGGCATTTGGCCATGGAACTTTTTACTATGAACAGTAATCAAGGCATGAGATGAAGCAATTCTACAGATTGCCAAGTGACCCTTGAGAAAGGGGCAGTGTATGGTCTTTGTGATCTTGGCTTTTCTTAGGTCTTTTTTAAAAAGATGTGTGATTTCCAATCTTTGGAAAGCATCACCGTCTCCATACTCTATTGATCTTCGTCACTGCATCACCCCCATCCTACCTTATCTCAGTAGCATGTCACAAAAGCATTTCTGTTTGCCCTTTTTACTTCTTTTTTTAGGGAAGCTGCAAAAGAATGTCGACGAAGGAAGAAAGAATACGTGAAATGTCTGGAGAGTCGTGTTGCAATGTTAGAAGTTCAGAACAAGAAACTTATAGAAGAGCTAGAAACTTTAAAAGACATTTGCTCTTCCAAGACAGACTAGTGTCAATACTGAAACTGTGAACTGGCTACAGCATGTACAAATGCTTCTGCAGGCAATGTCTAGTCAACAAGAATTATGACTTTTCCTTTATATCATTTGTCTTCTACTCCAGCCTCTAACATTCCTGAAACACTTTGCTGCATTTTGTAGATTCTTAAATGAAACTTCAGCTGTCTTTTTCTCAACCAGAAAGAGTCAAATGTTTAAGAACACAATGTGTGTTCCATGTTTTCAAAGGAAGCATGTGTAAGAGCTGCTCCTCTACGCAGTATTTGCATTATTTTCATTATATTAGCATCCCACTTGCACCACTATTTTAAAGTGATCAAAGATAATGCATCTAACACAATAAAATGAAAACCACCCAAAGTATCTCAGGAAAAAGTTATATAAAGATGTGCGTTGCTATGACGTACGTGTATTAGAATACTAGTTTACAAATGAATTTATGGCATATTTTTATATTCATCGCTTTGTGAAGAAAGTATTGTATTGCTGTCACTGAGTGCCATGGTTGAAACTAGTTTTTAAATAGAACCATGTTGGTTAAACTTTGTAGTGTTTGGTATTTATTTAAACATCCCATCTTTTTTAAAAATAAAACTAATGGCATATGCTGTGAAATATTTTATTAGACACACTTACTGTCTTTTATATTTCACAAATATACTCCAGAATTGTAGCTAACACTGATCTTAAAAATACACATTTCAGATTTTTCACACAGCTTCTACAAGCACTGTCAACAAGCACTACTTGATGGTATTTGTTCTAGGATTTTTACTGAACACTCTCATGAGTAGTTACAATCACTCAGAACCTTATCTGCAGAATAATTAAAATTCAGATAATAATTGAAAATTAAAAGGACTGAAATCTGATAACCCTCAAATCTCAAAGATTTTTGTGTTTTCATGTGAAGTGAGAATATGCAAATATTGATATCTTCATGTGAGATTGCATGAAATCATGAGGAAATCATTCAAATTCCATGATGTGTGTTAATCTTGTGAAATTTTATTTTGTCACATGTACTCCCCCCTTCCTTTTTTTTTTTTTTTTTTTTAGCAGTTGAGCTGAAAAAGTTCCAGCAGTACAGTTTGACTTATATCTTTCTTGGCCTTTTATTTTTTCTTTTTCTCATAGGCTGCAGTGTCTAATATGCATGATTCCCATACCCAACAGGAGCTTCTTTTCTCCAGAAACCATTGCACTGTCTGTATGTGTGAAGGGCATCTTTGGGGCTGTGGCTGGGAAAAGAAGTGGCTAAGCATTCTCTTTATGTCAAAATCCTGATGAAAACAGGACTTCTGATGCTTATTTTTTGTTTTAGAAAGTAAGCATAGCTTCACACTATCATTTAATGCAATATATATTTGACCAAAAAGTTTTCTTGATGTGGAGCAATGGTACAGAATCTGTGCTGACATTAAGCATGGTTGTTATGAATGATTATAAGGAAGGATATCCTGTTTGGTGATGCAGTAATACTTCCTTTTACCATGATGTCATCATTGGGTAGTGCTTAACCCTTGTAGTCAGAGCAACTACAGTAAATCTGCCAACAAATCTACCTGATGGATCTTCATTGGGAATACTCGAACAGATAACAGGCCTATTCTAAAATGACAAACTATATTGAAATTCATTCTTTCTTTAATAGTACAGTAAATAACAAATGCTGACCCTTCATTTATATGTGACATCATGACAGAAGAAATGTTTCTGTGGCTCTAGGCAGTCTCTGTTTTCTTTTCAGTGGTAAATAGAATGTGTGTGTGTGTATGTGAGAGAGAGAGAGAGAGAGAGAGAGAATAATGTGTTTATGAATATATAAGGCAGGTCCTAAAGAGCTAGCTCAATGGGAAGAACAAGATCCATGCCATCAACATGTATGCCCTGCCAGTCATCAGATACCCTGCCAGTATGG